GGCTTGCTCTTGTGAGGATGACCGCAACCACATCAATGTTCCTTATCACCTGCGTGGAATGCTATTGTGGAACCTCTCCTGTGCCCTTTGCAGCGTCGCTTGTATGTAATTGATTGAAAGATGCTCGAACAACGAACAAGTGTCTATAAAATGCTATGCCTCAGGTTCCAGAACTTCACATATACAAATCCAGTTTTGAAGCACATGGAAAGGCTTTTTATAGAAAACCTGTTCGTATAGGTCTGCGCACAAAGTCAAACCAAAACAGTGTTCACAGGGCTCCACCAAACTTGGTTATCATTTTATAGAAGCAAACCGGGGCATTTGCGGGTAAAACGTTGCAAGATAGATGTCTATAAAATGCTGTCCTGACTTTTGGTAAGGCCCCAGCTGTACATGGAGACCTGACATTGGAAGAGCGAGCAGAATCGGCCTTGACCGGGTACTTGCTCTTGGACTTGTGGCATTTGCTTGCCAGCCGCAAAGAACAAAAGCAAGGCACAAAGAAAGGCACCTTCTGCATGGCCAAGCAAACCAAGGAAGCGCTTCAGAATGTTGCAGCCAGCGTTGCAGTCATGACCACTTCCAAACCTGAGGGTTGGAATCCTTGGCACCGAGCCCAGACACTCTCAGAGGTGCACATAGAACGGTTCTTTGGGAGGCTCCGCAGATTCTCGGAGTCAGGAGACATGACCGTCCGCACTTATTGGTCTCACAGTGCCTCTGTAGCTCGAAGCCAGCTATTTCGGATGAAGAACTCCCAGCAGTCCCAGGTTGTTGACAACACGCCTGCTTTGTCAGAGGAGAAGTTGCTTGTCAATGCCTGTCATCTTTCTGTTTTTAATAGTTTATGTTTTTAGTTATGTTATGTTTATATATTTTATGTTGCAATATGTTGCAATGTTTATATAGGGTTCTACAAAATGGATAGCATTGCTTTTTTGCTTGTGCAATTCTGAATCAATCAATCTGATTCAAAACAACCATTTTATAGACAGATATTCTGGTGGCAATATTGATACAAAGGTTTCCAAATCCATCCAAATCCCATTTTATAGACATAGCTTGTATTGAAATCTCCAAGATGCACCAAGGTTTCAAGCGTGTGCAGATCGTGCGTGGAGTGCGGCCCTGACCCTCGCTTCTGACTGCAGTGGTACCTCGAAGACCGGCCTGGAAGCGTACTATCGCATGGAAGCTTCTGAGTTGGATTGTGATCCTCAAGATTTTGCTGATGCTGCTTTAGAAGGGACCGAGCTTGTGGAAGATCTCGAAGAGGAAGTGGCCACATGTGCAGAAGAGAAGTCCACAGAAAATGAGCTGAAAACAATCCTGGATCAGATTCAAGAGACTGCAGAGCAGGAGCAGACATGGGAGAAGTATGGTGATGACACTGAGCCAGAGATTCGCGCTGTTGACGCCCGGGCGGCTGGTGTGGATGCGAAGCTTCCAGATGCAGACTTGTTGCACAAGCTCACAGAGAATGACCCTGACGATCCGTCGCGCAAGGATCCTTTCTCAGGCTCTTGTCCTAGAACGCTCACGGAAGCTTTGCCTTTTAGCGCAATTCAGCGTATATAATTTCTACATATTTCTACCGTATTCTAACGTAATTTATCTATAAAATGAGTTGAGGTGGCTCTTGGGTCAGATGCACGAGCAGGAACAAGAGTTGAACTTGGTTGGATGCATTTTATAGACACCGGTCTGCTTCCCAGATACTATGCAATTTTGTAAAAGTATGTAAGATTATATTCAAGGCATTTTATAGAGCCTTTAATTCCAAACATCAAAGCAAAATGTGAAGATTGTGGACAGGGTTTGCATTTTATAGAACACCGTCATGACATTTCAGGTCTCGCAAGGGCAACATGTTCTCCAATTTATGGCTCCTGGCAATCTTTCTTCGGGGCGGCAAGCACGGCATGGACTCAGAGTTTGTTCAAGCAGCAGAAGCCATGCGCGCACGGAAAACAACAATGAACTGGCAGCAGTATCTTGCTTGAACACACGCTCTATCACGCTCTGACTTTTAAAGCTTTGTCAAAAAGATTCAAAAAGAATTTGGATGACTTTGGATATATTTGGATGAATGTTTATGGATGCTCATAGATGTTCAAGGATGTTCAAGGTATTTTTTTGAGATTCTTTTGCAGCACAGGTCGCTTGAGCATGAATTGAAGCAGATTCGGATTCTAGAGGATGAGGTGATGGAAGGAACAAAAGGCTCGAGGCTATCGAAATGGATCTCGTCAACCAAGCAAAAGCCAGAGTTTGCAGACGTGGCAGACCCGGACAAGTTGCAGATCCTTGCAGAATTATATATATATATATATATATTCTTTTTTGCTTTGCCTCCTAGATCCTCCTAGATATTTTACTTGGATTTTCAAACTGGTTACTCAGATGCTTGATATTGGCATTTTATAGACGGTTTGCTTCTTGTCTATGAAATGTATGGAACTCACTTCTGGAAATGCATGAGAAACCAGTATAGTAGTGAAAGATTTGCCATACCATTTTATAGAAACTATGTGGGCACATGTTAGCCAATGGCAGCCACAGTCTCCACAGCAATCCTTGGCCAACCAGGACAGGAAACATTGTGGCCTTGGTGACCGGCCCAGGAGCGAGTGTGGAGCCCTTCGTCATCCTCACTCTATGGCCAAAAGGTGTGCAGCCGAAACCATGTGCTCAAGCAGTCCCCTTCAACTTGGTGGGCGTGTTCCGGGCTGCCCGTCTCAAGTGCAATCCAGAGAATGACTTGCTCTTGGAGTTCACGGACTTTTGCGGTCTGTTTCGGGCAGAGAACGTTTTTGCAACCCTGGATTGTTCCAATGTGAGTCGTGGGATGGACATCATTAGCTTGACAGAAGAAAGTGCAGAAGTCCTCCAGAAGCTGGCCGCAATCTCCATTGATGCTCCTCCGGCGGTGCGCACCAAGATCAGGAAGCAGTCCGCCGAGCAGAAGGAATCTTCAGAAAAGCACTCAGCAAAGCCAGCTTTGTCCAAGGCTGCAGCGGATCTTGTCTCACAGGCTGCGCAGAAAGTCTCGAAGAAGGCCTTGAAGGCTTCAGCTCAGGCAAAGAAGTTTGAGGCTGACTTGAATGTCAACGCTGAAGACTTCCGCAAGACACTACTGGGCAAAAAGAAAATCGGCAAATTTGTTTGCCGCTTGTTAGAGAAGGAGCAGTTTGCCTTTGGAGCGAAATCTGTGTTCGACTCTAGCGGATGGTGCAAGATCACGGGGTGCCAGGATGTTTGCGCCAAGTCCTTGTGGCTGAGAGCTCCTCGATACTTTGAGTGCAAGTATTTTAAGTGTACAGCCACTCAATTTGGAGAGCGTGTTTTCTCAGATTTGAAAAACATTTTGGACGAGGTTACAGCCGAGAATCCAGGACACAGCAAGCTCCAGACCTTAATTCGGGACGTGGTCAAGTCTGGTGTCGCAGAAAGTGCGACGCTCTGATTTGGCAGGTTGGTTCCGCTCTCTCTTATTTCTGATCAGTAAATGACTGACAGAATCTGCCAGATCCATCCAGATCCTGCGACGATGCGAGAAGAAAGCGTGAGCAATGTAAGCACAGCAACTTTTCTATAAAATGGGTAAACCAGTCTCTTACCCAACACTAGCCACAAGAAGATGTTAGATCCTGGCTTACTCATTTTATAGAGCGCAAGTGTGAGCAACTGTTTATAAAATGGGTAAACCGGTCTCTTGCCCAACACTAACCACGAGAAGATGTTAGATCCTGGCTTATCCATGCTTATCCATTTTATAGAGCCCATATGGGGCCTTCTGCGACGCAGATACGTTTTTGTCTTTTGTTTGATAGTTTCACAGCTCAGAACCTGGCCTCCATTCTATAGAAGTTTAGAAGGCCGTGTTGGATTAACTTTCCTCTTTGAGTCGCAGAACCTGGTATCCATTCTATAGAGGTTTCTGGTACGCATGGATGCAACATCTCTGGAACTTGGTTTTTCATTTCATAGAGAATTACACATATGACTTATGGTTGTCAGCTGAACTTTGGTGATAGCATTTTATAGATCAGTAGTGTGTATATGTGTGTATTTGTAACATAGGTCTTTGGAACATGGCTTGCATTCTATAGAAGTGCCAGTCTAAGCATTATATAGAGTTTGGAGCCTGGTCTACCCATTTTATAGGGCCAAGTTCTCTATGACATGGGGGGCAAACCCTGCCACCCTACAGTCACCGGGGATGATTTACCTTCAAAGAAATGCGGACCGCAAAGAATGCAAATCCAGGAAATCCACATAAAGTGACTGGGAAAAACTGCCGGACCAAATCCAGAAGAACGCCGGAGTTGGAAGTCCGGCGCCGGACAATTATCATTTGATATCATATGCCCGGACCCTGTTTGGACCATTAGATGTGTTCTTCAGCCTCGCCGGAAACCGGTTTTATGACGCAAAGAATTACAAACAGGGGACAAGCAACAAGCTACAACACAGGGAAGAAGAACAACCTGTTTCTTTGTGTGATCCCAATATGTGTTTAGGTTTGCTTATTTGGGGCTGTTCTGCTTCTCTTCTTCAGGATTCCTTGTGACTTCAAACACATCTCTGATGCTGGAAACCAGTGTTTAATCCATGTTTTATGGCAAAGCTGCATGAAACAGGGGCCTTCCATCATGCGGCGAAGAACGTGCAAAGCCGTGCGTGCTAAAAGCAGATTTCCTCAGCCTGAAAAGCAGGGACGGCGCTGCCGGAGTGAATTTGTTACCGTTTGGAAGTCTTGACCCCGTTTGTTGCTCTATTAGTTAGGCTGCTGTTAGAAAGATGAATGCACTTCGGTGAAACATGGTTCGGTGAAACATACGTCACACGCCTCTTTCTTAGATCATTGTCCTCTATAGGAACAGGGGAGTGCCATGCACTTTCATGTTTGTTCAAGCAGAGTCCCCAATCATCCGAGCACCTCCGCGTCTCACTGCATCGTTCACCACGGCATCGTATGCACTCCTGGTCCCAAGGCATGGATGCCAAGGGTGAGCAACAGACGATGAGAGTTCAGAAAGTCGAGTGACCTGGGCCAAGGAAGAAGTGACGGTTTAACAGAAAAAGGAGAGAAAGCAAGCCCCGAGGTAGATCTTCAAGTCCAGATGCCTGGAAGTGTTGAAGTGCTTGGGATTGCGGATCCAGTTTGATCCAGACCATCCTGCTCACAAGCCATAGGGAATCTCTTTGGGGCCCGCAGGCTGACAGACGAAGCCGAAAGCATCCACAAGCAATTAAAACAATCAATCATTTTCTTACCGGAGTCCTGGCATCCATTGGGATGCCGGGATTGCGTTCTTTTTTTTCTGCATTTCTCTGGGACGTCCACAAGTTACAACTGTTTTGTATGTTATTACTACTATTTTTCTATTTGTTGTGTCTTGGTTTCTTATCGTTGCGTTCCTCTTTGTTTTTGTAATTTTGTATCCCCTGGTCTAAAAAAGCAACATCTTCGGGTCGGACGTGATGAATATCAGGAGGCGCCTGGAAGCTCGGGTGAAGGATGGAGCCGAGGACAGGCGGTTCGTTCAGTTTGCTGATGTGGGGGATGAGGTCAGCCAGACGAATGTGGCATGAGATGGCATGAGTGTCTATAGACTCTGGGAGTCAGAGTGTGCACCTCGCAAGGTACAGTTTACAGTTTGTGCAAAAGATCAACATGGATCTTTTCAGCTTGGTGGGTAGTGTGTCCCAGCGGGCTACTACAACTTTTGTTTGATTGTGTGCCTTAAAGTTTACATATAAATTCATTAAATACTTTGAGGTGACAAGCTTCACTGGTAGTTCACCGGGGCATCGAACAAAACATAGATGTTCCGAGATGTTCCCATGCGCCGCGAGGACGTCTTGGACCGGCTGACTGAGCTACAACAACAGCTGCTGGAATGGAAATACGTCAACACACACCCAGCCTTGTCCTATAGTGTGCTTCCCGTATTTCCAGTCATGAGTATCAATTTGTAGAAGAATGTCACCTATTTTGGAAGTAGAGACCTTCACCAACATCCACAACTACAGTGCCCATGTGCGTCGTGTACAACTCCAGCAAATCAGTCAAGTGCTTAATAGCTCTTCTTGAACTTGACGATTTGGACTGGACATTTGGCGACTGATTCAACCGATTTCCCGTGCGCCACCAAACACAGAACCGCCGCCATGTGATACACAGCGCGCCCGCCAGAGGCGCGCAATGAAGCAGTCGCATTCATCGGTTGGTTGCCTCATAGACCTCTGAGGCACAATGAACAATTTGAGCGTGCCCACCGTCGCATCGACCAACTTCGGGACCGTGACGCGCGCGACGCCGACCCGCTCTGGCGCCTCTTCCGGCGGCTGCGGAGCCGATTGTGAGGCGGGCGAGCTGGGGGATCGTTGGATCGGCATGTGGTTGGGGCCCGGGGCCCGGTGTGACACGGGTATCGGGGTTGCTTTGTTTGCCTGGTGTTTTTGTTACATTTGTCTACTTTGCTGGCTGTTACTGTTATTTTTTCTTGGTTTTGTGTTCTGTTCATTTTCTTCTGTTTCATAATCAGTCTCAGTCATTGTCGGGTGGACGCCACTCACCTGAAACTGGGCCAAAGAAGCAGGTTCTGAATGTTATCCAGAGACTGAACGAAAAGCAGAAGTGGGCTGCTCACCAGCCATTCTTTTGAGATCCCTGACTCCCGCTTGCATCTCAACAGTCCTTAACACAACTTGCTCCCATGTTTGTTCCCATGTGCTCCTCCAAAACGTGCACCGCATGCAGTTGCTAGATGTTGATAGATCACGACAGATCGACCAGCGCTGGGCGCTCTGGTCGACCAGATCGCCATGGCTCCCCCGAACAGGCTGCCCTTGCGCGGCCGCCCGAGCTCCGGGCCCAGGGCTCCGGGCCGACGGGTCAGCTGAATGAAGATGTTCAACAGCATGGAGCATTGGTTGTTTTTTTTCAAAGGGAGGCAAAGCTTATGATGTTGCATTAAATAGTCTAGCTATAGTATAGTTCTTCCTCCTTAGACTCCAGGGTGAAGGTGTCCTGTTGTGAGAACACACTCTTTGGATATCTTTGGATATATTCAGGAATATTCATAATCATAATCACAGCTGTCCTGTCGGAACACGCCACAACAGCAAGCTGGATATATTGATGGATTCCACAGCATATACATAGTTTTCTTGCAAACAATACTGAAGACAACCATGCCCGATACCTACCAGCTCTTTGACACATTTCACAAACCTCATCAGCACAGTGTGCTGCGCTTGTGCCGAGCCGCGATTGCTTCTGCCGCCGGTTTGCATCTTTGGGCACAGAAAGAAACATGAGAGCAGTTGAGTGAGGTGAAGGGCTGTGCAGATGCGGGAAATAGAAGCCTCTAGAACATTATGAATCATAGAACATCCTGAAATGATGACGTTATGGAGGTCGCTGAAAATATGTTGCAAGAAGACTTCGGTATATCTGTATGGGGATTGATATGGATCGACCCGCCCTGTGGATCCTGTTGGATGATTGGCTTGGTGATGAAGAATGAGGGCGGTAGTCACTCTGGATCGCCATGAAAAGCCCCACACATCAGTGGAACGATCACTCTCAACGCTCCATGTCCTTCTCCAGAACAGTTCATTTTGACAGAATTTCCACCAAGGCTGACGACCTAATCACACTAACACTAGACTCATTTCATCAGAATTGATACGAGACATCACCTGACACTGCCTGACACCTGACAGACCTTTTTCAGGAATTCGGAAACTGCTTTGGTGGGGATTATGATTGACAATATTATGATATATTATGACATCATGGACCCTAGTGAAAGTGATCATGGACCCTAGTGAAAGTGGACAACCCTTGATCTTTTCCTTGGTGTATACATGGGTGTGCATTATAATCATCATATAAGTTATTATAATTATATAATGCTTATTTGGTGTGTAATTTAATACCCCTTGGAGGCGCTTATTAACCATCAACATACTTTGATACATACAGAGATGTCAAAGTGACAGTTTGGCCAATCCAGGGGGGGTCAGCAAATAAATGTGGTTTGGTGCACATGTTTATGCTCTCCGTGTGTTTGGAGATGCTATGACATTCTACCAACGTTTAGTAAAACCAAGATAAGAAGTTGCACATAGAGGGCTCATATACAAATGCACAGTAAAACAATGTAGCCTATTGATCAATAAACCGCCGCGTTTGGATTGAGACATCTCTTCGTGTGGGGTGTGTTTTTTTTTTTTGTCAAGAGTCTGCATTAAATGGATCATATCTTGCCCAGTCAGTGGAGAACCTGAAAAACCTTTTTTGGGGGATTGCAGACATCCCACTGAATATGATCAGCTGGAATGTTCGGTTGGACCTTTTTTTTCTCAAGGGAAACGGCTTGGGAGTCAGACATTGCGTCCGAGCAGCAAGTCCCTTCACCCCGTGGCCACCGTGGGTGTCGCTCACCAGCGGTGCCAGGCCTTGAAGGCACAGGAGGATCCCGTTTTCTTTGCGTGGGTGAAGCGGAGCGATGGACCGAGTGAACTGGTGGGTCAGCGAAAATAAGAAGTCAATAGTACATGCATACAATGGCACATATTACTATATATATATAACAGATATGTCATATAATGTATGTATATATATAAGTCTGTGATACAGTCACTATGTGAAGTTGTGAAGATGTGTGCATGATGTACGCATGATGTATCATGTCCAGGTGTTTTCACACACACACACACACTAATATATTTTTCATTTTAAAGATTCCACCAATCTTGATGAGTTGGACTTGGACATGTCATTCAGCAAGTTCAGAACGTGCAGAAAACGATGGTCAATGATTGACAAAACCCAAATATCTGACACCTGGTCACCTCCAGAAGTTCGCTGGCTTTACATTGTCCACCTGCTAGACCTGGAAACACGACTCAGAACTGTCCACTCATTACTGGCGTTTGGACGCTCGTTGTTTTTGTTTAGGGGAAGAGTCCAGGCTGGTTGATAAAGGAGCAACACCAAGCGACAGAATCCCACGGGCGACAGAATTTGGAGAACGCTGAGGGCTAAAAACTGAGAACGCCCTCGAGGGCGCGCTTGCACAGACTGGACGGAGGTTCGGATGGCATCACGTGTTGTGTTTGTTCAGTATTTATTGGACATATATGTATATATATATATATGTATTAGAGGGATGTTCAACATCACTCACAGTTGGGAAGCTTCTTAGGCATATATATATAGACGTATACATATAGCATGGTGATGTTGCCGTGAAACAATCATGGATGTGGATGGCATGGCCCCTTGGATGACTATTCCTCTACCTGACAGGTGGCTCCATCCACTTCCATGTTTATTTCCGGGAGTGATATGTGTACTATAGTTTCAACAAAGCAATTCCTTTAAGCTTCCTGTTCGACCTTACTTCCCGAAATAGACCGCCGCCAACGCTCATTGGTGACATCGGTAGACTCTCCCGTCATCGTCAACTTTCAGTCCTTTGAGCCCTTTTGGGTGGATGTGGACGAGGGCTCCCTCCTCATTTTGGATGCGCTAAGACCTCTTCTCATATGGGGTTCCAAGTGGCAGGAGACGGAGGACCAGAACCCCATCACGTCTGCGATCGCGTTCATCTCTGGCGTCGCTTGGGTGGAGATTCAGCACCGAAGCAGTAAAGAAGGTTGTCACCAACCAAAGAAGCAGGGGAATCTGGAAGAATCTGGAAGACTCACCACTGAGTGCCAAACAAAGTGACCATCCATGGCTGCAAAGTCTCAACAGCACCAGTTGTCCACAAGAGTTGTCTGCTAAATACCTGGGCTTTTGGCATGATCGGTGACTGTCACCTCCAGTGCTGGTCGCTCGGCTCGGCTGTTGCTCTGTAGACGATGGACCTGGTCGTGACCAACTGATTGTGACCGACGGTTGATTCCTTGGAACTGCAGCTTCCTAGCGGCCCTAGCGTGAACCTATGGAATTGACACAGAACATCACAAAAAATACCTATATAAACTAGAACCTTTGAATGAATCCTAACAGTTTTCCCACCCAGTTGGCAACTATCCACTGGAGACCGACCTCCGTTCCCGCAAAAAATAACCGACCGACAATAACCCCCTGCCTTCTGAAGTGTCCCGCGAGATTTTGGTCGTCGTTTTGGTCGCGGTCGAGATCCTGCGGTGAGGTCATCGGCTCATTGCTCTCGAGCCCCAAAACGGAAGAAGGTGAAGCCAGCATCGTGCAGCAGTTGGGGCGAACCCCTTTGGTGTGGAGACCCAGACCCGTGGGACCCGTGCGGGACTGGAGAAGAGCAGAGCAGCTGTACCTACCAAGAGGCGACAGCTGGGCTCCCAGAACGTCATACGAACACACCACAATCCTTTGGAACTGCCCATCGAATGTGGCAAGTTCTCCCAAAGTAGAATGCTTCCAAGCTTCGCATACAGGCATACTGGGTGATAGCCAGCAAGAAGCAAAAAAGCCAGCACCTGGCCAGGAAAAACACACACATAGAATCTGAAGAATGGATCACTGCAAGACAAATTCCTACAAAGACAGAGGTGTTGGATCTCTTTTTGTGCAGATTCTATGTTGCACTTACCAGGTGCACGGTGTCTCATTCTCTCAATCAAGTTCCATGGTCAAGTTCGTACGACATGTGATACATGTGCCAATTGGATGCTTTGGACCGGACTCCAAGGTGAAGCCATTTGGAGGATCTATGGGACTTAAGGTATAGCCTTGTGGGGAACACCCAGTCGAAGACCCCGACACCACCACGCTGAAAAGCATGGCCTCCGACTCTCGGCCCCCTCAGGAAGCCCAAAAAGGCCTTCCGATCTACTCCTTGGGGCCTTTCCCCAGGCGGGCGAAGCGGGCGAAGCGGGCGAACTCCCGCGGTTTTGCTTGGGCGACCCCACCGGAGAACTGGTGCGACTGGTGCCAGCTATACGATGTGACGTTTGTGTTCCAAAAGGTTCAGAGAGAGAGAGAGAGCTTGAAGTCTGGTGTGTTGGTCCCTGTGCTTTGTACCAAAAAGGATACGAGTTGGCTCAAGTTGCTAGCTAGAGTCATTCAGAGGTTTAGAGAACTGCATGGTTTGCTATGCCATATGCTAAACTCATAGAGATTGCTAGCTGTGTCCAAGTTGAAGTGGCTTTTCACTGGTCCGCGAAGTCTTTGTTTACCCTCCTTGTCTTCGGGCTAATTGGATGCCGTTCAATCCATCACAACATTGTCAGGTTCAACGCTTCATGTACTCAATGTACTCCCTTCTACCAGAGGGCAAGAAAAATGTGAACATCAGAAAAGGCATGTCATGTCGCATTATGTCCCGCAATTCATTTGTGATAAACAGGACTTTGACGACATGGGCACTGAACATTCAGGTTCTTATCAAATCACCCAAATTGACTATATATATTTCTATATAGAGCCTCCCCTCCATATTCCAGACACCTGCAAGTCAAGACCATTTGTCTCCCGGCAACAGATGACCTTCATTCCTCTCCATCCGTCAAAAAAGCCAACTCCTTGTCTTAATCAAACTCCATTGCTGCGGCGCCGAGCGCGTTGACACGAAAACCGCGGACCGGACCCTCGTCCCCGGTGGAGCGCTGCGATCGCAGGTGCACGGAGGCCTCAGACCTCCGGAGCAAGCCCAGGCGGGTGGGTGCGACTGGTGGAGTGGTCTCCGTGGTGCCGAGACGGGACTCAGCTGGACCAGAAAGGGAGGACAAAGACCACGAGCCATGTGGACTGGCAGATTGACCCAATCACAGATGGTTCAACCAGACCAAGGTATGAACATGTTTCCATGAAATGGAGTGTTTGGGTTATAGGCAAATATAGAATCAGAACGGAAGTGTGGACATCAGAGGCGGAAGAAAAAAGGGTAGGTGAACGTTGAAAAGGAACTTTTTTTTGTTGGTCTGACGCTGAGGCTTTGCATGGCTTCGCATATTTGATTATATAAGGAAAGCCAGTGGGTCTATGTTCAGGTTCTTCTGGAGCTTTTAGGTGAGTATTTCCCGGGGTGCACTCTTGAAGTCACATTCTGTCGATGAACAGTCAAATCAATTTGAATATATTGTAGAGAGATTTACAAAGTTTTACAAAGCAATGTTAAGAACATTTAAGAAAGGCAGCTATTTGATGTACACTTTGTTTATGTTTGTCCCTGTTTGTGCTATGTATGTGGTGGAGAAAAGGGTTGCTCACACTTGAAGTGACACCTACAACTTTCTCGCAAGTGGGTGAAAAGGACACCGCAAGATGACCGCCACCACCCAGGTCGGGTGGCTGAACAAAACCATCGGTGGGACCATCCAATAGCAGATAGCAAACCTTTGGTGCTGGAGATCAGCATCCCGCTGATAACTCTGTTCATGTTCCGTGCAAGAAAGCTGAGGTGTGTTTTTGGTGCCCATCCCGTCCCCGACTGTTCAAACATGAGACCGACGAAGAAAACGGAAGTAGGTTTGATTTGGGTCGGTCATCGTGGACCTGCAATGAACAGTTTGACTGTTTACTTATTGCAGTTGTAGACTTCTACAAGGCTTCCCAACCTGTCAACACTGGAGAAGACACTCATCACATTTTGCAGGTCATTCTTTGCCATTCAGTCTCGGTCGAGCACCGTGTGTCGAGCACCGGACGCAGCAGGAAGATCACCGTGATCACCACCGCGGCCTTACCGTGGACGTGCGATGTCTCAGTGAGTTGGTGGGGGATGCTTTGGGACCCAAGTAGTGTTTGGGGTGCGGATTGGACAATGGTTTCAGAATAGATGGCACAAGTGACACCCCGAAGTTCGGTAGTTCAACTGTTTTTATATGAAATCCCAATCTGTTCGAGGCATCTTTGGGTTTTCGTGTCGTCAAAACCTCTTTCAACGCTGCCTCCGGTCGTCTTCCCTCGCTTCCACCGCTGGGCGCTTCCTCGCGTTGACCGAATCGACGGACGCTTCCTCGCGCGGTTTTGTGCATTCACGCTTCGGTGGTGAGGTGAAACGCATGGTGTGTGGCGTCCTTGCTCCAAGTATATATTATACTATATATATAATATATATATATATATGTACCAGCACCACCTGACACTTTTAAGTCTACATTTACAGCTCTCCATTTTAGGAGACCTGTTGGAGGGTCCAGGTATTGATCCTGGTTTGTTTTTCGGTAAGTTGATCCACATTGATCCACTCAATGTGTTGACATATATTTCCTTGGAAGTGGCAGCCAATTTTCAATAGTCCCACGTGATACTTAAAACGTATCAGATCTGTGCTATAGCAAGTGCTAAATCAACGCAGAAGAGGTCAGAGGTCTATATACTTTGGCCTCAAGGTCCGAGTAACGCGGTCTGCCCACCTCGAGACGTCAGTCTTGAAGTCCGACCGAGGACTGGGCCGGCCATTAACCCGCTGCTGCGGAGCCTGGCTTTGGCGAGGCGTTGCGTTCCACTTGGAGACATCCGCAAAAGTCCTAACATGAAGAAGTCAGCAGTTGGTACGGAACCTTCGTTGGTTCGCGAACCCCTCAGATTTGTCACGGACATATTCCATATTCCTATCTGAGAAGGTGGATCCTCTCCCACGTCGACGCTCGCATGACCGCAGCGCCGCAGGAGAGGTCATGAGGTGATCTTGGTGATGCCGTGGTTAGAACCCCTCCAGCAGGCGCAAGACGACGGTGATGTGTGGAACGATCCGCTAAGAGATATAGAGATGGTAGTATAGAATGTCGAAGGTTTTATCGCTATACCAGGGCTATACAACTTATAGTCAATATATTTGTCAATACCACGTCTGTAAGTTGTATAGCCATTTGCCAATATAAGTTGTATAGTATATAGTCTATTTTATTTGCATTACCACTTACCTTGACACTCAGGCGCTGCCTACCTGTCAGCGCACCGTGTTAGGCGACGGTGACCTGTTTTGGTCTGCGGTCGGTGTGCGTGGTCACCGGTCGGGTGGATGACTTGACTCGTCACCGATGAAGCGGTGAAGGGTTCATCAGCGGACGTGTTTTGTGGAGGAAGGACGTGTTCTCCTTCCAATTTGGACGGTTTTTTTTGAGGTCTCCCTATTTAGTTCTACACACCCGATTTTAATACAGTTCTCCCTGGAATTGCTGGGTGTTATTTTTTTTGTTTTCTGAACTGTCCCTTTATTCACTGAACAAAAGTTGTTGCCATACATTTGCTGGTGCTTACCTCAACTCGTCCTCATAAGCAGTGTGGACAGTGAACTGACTAGCTATATATGTAGTGCGGGAAGACATCGGCCGACGTCGGGAAATCAGTGACTCGCAATCTATAACCTGGAGTCCCCAGTCTTGAAGGAATAACACGATTAAGACCAATTCCACCTTCACACTCGCAACACGCCCTAAATCAAGTGGCTTTGCGGTTGATTTGGGCGTTGCCCAAGCGATTCGCGGTTATAGGGCTCAGTCAGGTCCCCGATCCGGGCGGATCTATGTGTCCTTGTGAACTTAGCTTGTGGACCCGCAAGAGGATGTGGGAATGGAGTGAATTCAAGCAATCCCACCTCAATTTCAGCAGATCTTTGGTTTTGTATCAGCCGATAGAACCGTGTGAAATCAAGATCGAGCTTCGATCCAATTTTCGGAAACAAATCAATAAACAGCACATTGTGCAAACTTATTGTTGCGCATGCCGCCTGCGTCCCTTGGACGCCTGCGGGATCATTGCCTCATCATCGTGGGCGATGGAGGTGAGGCAGAAGAAGTCCTGGCCCAGCGTCGGTGGGCCGCCGGTGGCCGCCTCGTGCATTTCTTGGTGCCAGATGAGCAGGTGCCTGGAGCAGTGTGTTTGAAGAAAAGCGTTTGGGGTCTATCTGACAACGATATCTGAATCTCAATTAAGGTAGTTTACTATACTACAATAAGTACTATAATACCTTGAACTCGCATAGTTTTCTTGGCAAGTCTCGGGATCTTAGTTAATTATGCTAGGTTTTGAAGTGTTCTGATTATCTCCAACCAATCGGTTCCGAAGATGACCACCCTCCGTCTCCAGTTTGTGGGAGAGGTGATGGAAAGCTCGTTCCCCCATGACCCATATTGGTGTTTATTCTTGTGGAAGAACAATCTGTGGAACAAGAACATCGTCAGAGAGGAGAATGTCTTAAGGTGGCTTGTGGAGTCTGCTTGTTGGAGGCTTTCTTGACTGAAAGATGACTCCACAAAAAATCCCACTTAAACACAATGAAACCTGGAAGAAGAATTGAACCCATGTTTTTGTTTGTTAACACCAGCCCATGTCTGGGATTTGGTTGAGGTTTGATTGGGGGTTTGAGTGGGGTGAGGTTGGTTTCAATTGGATTTTAGTTTCAAATCCCAGCCCATTTTGGTGATTTGGTTGGGATTTGGTTAGATTTGTTTGGTGTTTTGGTAGTTTAGCGTGGGAAATCATCAGGCCCATAGATAACCCACAAAAAAGAACAATCAAACTCCAACATTCACCTCAAATTACCGAAGGCAAACCCACACCACTAGCACCCAAAAGCTTGGGCACAGGCTCATTTTAATTTTGCGACCCAAAAACAACAAGAGTGCTGAACATTTTCTCTGGGATTTTGCCAGCTTTCTCAGGGATCTTACAGTGAATGATTGGGAGCCAGCTGGGTTTCCATAGGCCCTTGGCCCTTGAGGGCATCTAATGAGAAAGGATTGAAGAAGTGTGTCACCCACGAAATGAATGAACACTTTGTACCCAGCTCAGAGTTTCCCCGAAATCCAGGTGCCCCCTCCAGCATGAAGAACAGATGTGCCTGGTACCCCCCTTTTCCGTGGCTTGTAGGTGAGGAGAGAAGAGGGGATGGAGGAGGTGGTTTTTGCTTGGCAACCTCCCTGTGACCTGAAGCCTTCCAGCTTTGGACGGAACTTGGGGCCTTCCTTCAGGAGAACATGTTTGTTTTGTTGGGAATGATTGTTTTTTGGGAGTGTGTGTGTGTGTCCACTCCTGTTTCCAAGGACACTACCCTAGTTTTTCTAATCTATCCTACAAGCGTTTCTGTACAGAAGCAGGGGGGTAGTGCACGACTGACAGACACTACCCAACGAAGACACTGTCAGCTCGTGGTGAAGCAATGTGGGACGCCACATTGTGTACCTGCAAATTTTTAATATACATTAAAGAGCTAATGCATCTTGTTGAAACATTCAAGTGAGCGGACTCAGCACTTCTTTCCGTTGAATCAAGTCAAGTGCTAAGTATTCACCTAAAGGGCTAATGCACACCGCGAAGCTACCTGAAATCACGCTCCACGGAGCAACCTTCTCAAGTGTGTGTTTGACTTCATGATTCATTAGTGTGCCGTCATTATATTTTCCAGATGTTGAGCTCTTTTGTTTGTATGGAAGGTGTGACTTTGAAGTGAATTTGGAGGACGAAAAGAGTGAGGTTGCTTTTGATTTAGGATAATTTATTGATATTTATTGATGCTCAACTTCGAACATGCAGGACCTACTGGACCACATCAGGCCCTGATTGCGTGGAGGTGGCACCGAACCAAACCTTGTACATCTATGGCGAAGACACGCGTTTGGTACAGCTGGTTGAGAACGGTCGAATTCTTGCGGACGCCTGGACGAGTGTTCAGGGCTCCTCCTTCTTTGGGCTTTTGCAGGTTGAGCGAAGCAAAACGCAGGGTGACTCCAGGGTCTTTGTTACAGCAGTCTCCAACGGGTGTTTTGAATGGAGATCACCAGATCGACCTCCGATACTGGAGGCACCCACGTGGTCAGAATACAATTTATAAACACACCTCCCTTATAAGATTCCCAAAGAATTCCATAGACCTGGTAGTGCAAACCACTGGAGTCAGGAAGTGCCTGCGTGTCGGCATTCCCGACACCTGCAGCCTGCGTGTTTTTCTATAGGCATTGTCGTGATAGATTTAGATAGACGAACACCCCAGCCCAGCTTAGCCCCCACAACCAATATAGCGTTGCTAAGGAGATGTCCGGGCACGTGATTTGGAAGCCTGATATGACCACCGCAACATCAATGGATGTTCAGGCGGGCTTCTCCAGTCCGGCATTCCTCAGGAGTTCAAAGAAAGACTCCACTAGGAGTGTAGATTGTCAGCACATTTGGGGTTGGATGAGAAATACTGAGTTCACCCAAGTTCATTGGATGTTCGATGGATGTCATGCGATTTCACAATTTCTAGATCCATTCAACATCCATTACACCATGGGTATCCATGGGTCAGCACCTCCTCAACGCTGGTAGACCGACGAGAACAGACCTCCCCGGGGAGGTCACCCCAGCATCGGTTTTGGGGTATCACACATGTTTGCGCATGTTGATGGTCTATATACAGGCATCGTCGAAATGCCACACTGTGCAGCATCAGTCATCATAGTCGCGACAGGGCTTGCTCATAAGACACCTTGTGGGCAAGCTACCGCACACACCGTGAGATCTTCCTCCATGGTCTGGTGGAAGGTATCCTCAAGACGGCAGAGAGGACATGCGGACACGCCTGCTGTTGAAAGCAGAAATGCCTCCGAGGTCCTTCTTCTTAAAAGGCAAGCTGCAAAGATCTCGTGCCAAGATGCACCAAGTCCATCGTCTTCTCACGTGAGTGATATGAGACATGGCCTACCGGGGGCTCAGAAACGGGGCCGCTCTGAGCTTCCTAACTCACAGGCCATCCCAACTCTCAGGCCATCCATCACCATCTTCACTTCACTTCACCCCCTCGGATCAGAATCGCCCCATCCAAAACGGGTCGCCTCTCTCCGACCGACGCTTGCTGAGCTCGGCCGCCGCCCGAACCCCAGACCGATCGCCCTCTTTTGTGGGACCTGCGAGCATCGCTCCATCGGCTGAAGGTGGAAGATCCCGAGCTCCGAGCCTCTGGCACCTTCTCGTGGCGCTACGTGCTGAGCTCGAAGCTCGGTCGACCGGGGCCAGCGGGGCCAGCCGGGCGGTGGGGCGCCAGAGTCGTGTCGGTGTCGGTGTCGAGTCCTTTCGAACTGAAACCCCTGCCTGGTGTGGGTGTGTGTGTGTGTCCTTTACTTGATGATGGATCACCCAAGGATCACCCAAGGGAGTCAGACTTTGAGGCTCTCCCCACAAGAGGTTCCGTCTGAAAGGAATCAAGTGTTCCGGCCATCCAATTCCCCCCAAACAAGACCTGGGATCCTGTACTGCACCTGCACTTTGTCTCATGTTGTTTAAAACTCTTTTGCTTGGCGACAAAACACCGGACACATCGGGCCACCAGGTCCTACGATGCAGGAACTCGACCGAAGGGTCCAAGTATGGTAGAATACAGAAGGCCTAGTGTACCCGACCGTACCTGAGAAATGACGAGAAATGCCACTATAGTGGTAGAGCGTCAGAGAAGAGAGTGCTCCTGGTGCAGGTGGTTTGCCGGATTGATCCGGTATGTATGCTTGTGGCTAAAAAAGGAGGGGATAGACATGTAACTTATGAATATACTTATATGTATATATATAATATATATATTTGCTTATAAGTATAATATTTGTGATGTTGGCTATCACAAGAGAAATCCAAGGTAACCGAAACCATGATAATGTAAAGGACATATATGAAGTGGATATGCTCTTCATATCATTGAGTATACATTGGCGGCACAGCGAAGGTTTTCCTGTAGTTTGAAACAACACCACGCGTTTATTGTGATTGACGTGTGCAAAAGTACGCCAAGGATGGCCTTGCTCTTCCTGTGGCACGTCCTTCGATGGGGGATCTCCATACATTTGGAGCAAGCTGCAGCTCTTCCCGGCCACCTGGGGCCACCATGGTGGCGGGGAGTCTTAGTGGCCTTCAACGGTGCCGTCTTTTGCGTTTGGGGGCTGTTCCATACCTGGGCTGCCAGTCTTTCTGGTGAAGTGGGCAGCACCGGCCTTCAGAAGCTGGTGCCCATTTGCATGGCCATTCCACCCATGCTACCTATGGGCACTTGGGTCCAACTGGCGGACTTCCCCCTCTCGCTCTTTGGTTTAAGCATTCTCTTTCTCTTTGGCCCCACTTTGCAGTACTACCAAACACAGCAGCAGCATCCTGCACGCCGTCTCCTGCCCTGCTTGGTGTGGACCATCGCACAGTTGGCCGGAACAGTAGGCATCTCTGCGATTTTGGCCGTCATTGTTGTCGCCTACCGATTGCTCCTAGTGAGCCAGCCCGTCCTCGCCTCCTTCTTTTTGCCCGTTTGCACAGCTGTAGTCGAAACTGGAGGTGTGATGTACACCAAGATCTTGTATGCCAAGCTGGTGGTTCAAAAGCGTCCAATGGTACCAGGGGACATCTCTTGGGTTGCCATGCCCTACATGATGTGTTCAGCACACGCCTTTTCGGAGGCTGCACGGCTGGCAGCGGTCTTCTCGGGCGCAGTGAGCACGGGTGACTATGGTTGGGTGGCTAGCTTGGCGGTGACACTGTCGCTGAACATTCTGGTGCGATCTGGCTGGATGCGCTATGGATGCTATGTGCTAGTGAGGAAGATTGGTGGCTCCAAGCGCGCGATGTGGATGTTGGCTCCAACTGTGTTTTGGCATTGACTAATGGCACCGGGCGGATCCTGGGTTGACCAGAGAATGAACATGATGGACTACGGAGGTCCACCTACCCTTGGCGCAACGGGCTCCAGGTTTCGGCCCACCCATTTTCAGAACGGCAGGCCCTGGAAGTGCACTTTTTCATCTATTTTGAGTGATCTGGAGGTGCATTTTTTAGTAGATTTTAAGGATCTACTGAGATCAATTCACAGCACCAGTACTGCCAAGGACATCTCAACTGCTGTACTCTGAAAAAATGCATAGGACTTGAAAAACCAAACAACACACAACAAAAAACAATCCTAGAAGACTCTTTTTGGTGATTAAACCAAAAAAACAATCCTGACAGAGCCTTTGGAACCCCCCCCCAGCCCAAGACCTCCCAGCACTTGTTATTTCTTTGTTTTTGGATTTACTCACCAAAGAGTCTTCTAGGATTGTTTTTTGTTTTTGGACACCCACCCCAACCCCAAGACAAGACTTCTGAAGAGTTGGTTATTTGTGTTTTTATTTTGTGTTTTGGCATCTCTAACTTTTTTCACCACATTCATCAACGATTTTCTTACAAATAGAGCACCTTGTAGCATTTCTGAATTCTAATTATTCTTCTTCACTAATAACCATTGGTTTATTAACATTCATTTTTCAGTGATATCAGATTTGATATTACCCAATTGTTCTATAAATGTATCCATACAATCCTCACCCCTATACTGATAAGGTGTGGATGTTTTGTCAATTCTATTCACCACATTCAACACATATATATATATAACCGCAAGGTTTATGCTCTTGACATGTGCCCTTAATCCCATCAGAAGAAGTCACAGTCAGACATTCAAAATCTCCATAAATAGCAAACGGACATTCTAATTTAGTATTATACTTTTCAAATTCAATAAAAGAACCTTCAGGGGGTAGTTTGAATTGTTGCCCCGCAATTGCTAAACAACCCCTTTTATGATGTTCTTCCAAGCCCTCTTTTTTTACACAATGAGTGAGAACAATACCCGCAGATATGTGTTTTATTGTTATCTTTATTCAATTGACAATTTAATAACCTACTCAAACTTCTTATTAAAGCATATCATCATTAAAAGTCAAAATTGAATTTTGAATTTATACTGAAATTAAACCATCATTGTTCACTTCAAGCCTGTCAATATCTCTATTACCTGCTGGTAAATTGACACCTTCCCAATTGATGATGTCATCCTTCAATTTGTTATAATGAAACATTTCTTCTGGGTGATGTTTATTAATCTTATCAAAAACTACTGATTGAATACAATACGTTAAACATGTGTTATAGTGTTTTTTTTGATACAAGCCTTTGTGACTTAACAAGATTAGGTAACTCTATATATTTGACTGCCCTAGGTGGATTATATCTATCATAATGGATGGTAATAGAAACTATATTTTAAACATTTAGATTTGACCTTGAAGCCTCAATCTGTTCTATTTGAAGTAGTATTTCTTTTACACTATCTTCTAAAGCTTTTTTCAAGTCATCTTCATTATGAATGTTCAATCTTGTGGATGGTAAATTATGAAGAATCTCAGACTCACCTATATCACCATCAAAATATTCACCATCATTAACATTAGGCTTACTATATAAATAACGCTTCCGATCTTATGTTGAGTTTCATATTTATGATTATTTAAAATAAATTCTACAAGTAATGATTTTTGATGTTGTAGTATCATTGATAAGCCTTTCTGACCCAGCTTCGTCAGAAGATCTTCTTTATTCTGGTGCCAGCGCCATTGCCACTGTCAAATGAACTTCATGATGTTTGGGTTTATACCGTCACCTTCACGTGAACGCAAGCTAGTGGGGACCGACTCCTTACACAAACGCCACATACCATCAATGCAACCGGTGTGGATGAGCAGCTCTCCTGACGCCAAGTTTCCATGCGTCGACGTCTAACAGAAGAACTGACACACCCCGACCACCTGTGCGTACCGACCTGTTGTGCATGTCTGGCTTTATCAACGTATGCACTATGATTCTATGATGCACTGAACATGCAACGTCTTTAGCCCCCTACCCAACCCCCCCACCCCCTCTTCCACAGCGTGTGCGTGTGTGGCTTCCTTAATTACAATGCACACAACATGAACATCACTACCCCCCACCCAACCCCCCCTCCCCCCTAACCCCCCCGTGTCCCCAGCTTCTATATTCCAACGCGTGTGTTTGTGTGTGTTCTTGCCCCCCCAAAGGACTGTATGAAAAATCAGTTTCACTACACGCGCGGTTTTAAGCCCATTAGCTTTTTTTGATAGCATATTTGGTTAGGGCTTTCTTCATGCCCCAATGAAATTATCTTATGGTCGTAACTTCTATATTCATGAGTTTTCTTAAATTCATTGAATATATGCTTAAATATACATTAATTTGTAATATTAGGTGATTTTAGGAATTCTTGGGATACCTATTTAAAGAAATATAGACATTAATATTCAATGAGTATACTTGGGGAGATACTTGTGTTAAGCCAAAACGAGCAGATGAAGGCAGACATGTCAGATAACTTAGTAGAGCTCAAAAATTGGTGAAAAAGTGCACTTCCACAGCCTGCCGGATTCTTTTTCAGATGGAGCGTTTGCACAGAAAACTCGATTCCACGGCGCGGAGTGTTTCCAGTCATTTCTTCGGCCAGCGTATTTAGCATGTGTTCCTACCCCCCTCCCGGAAATGTCTTTGGGAGAAAACACCTCTCCCAGGCTTGGAACAAGCTCCATGATGAGATGAAGATCTATGCGGGCTACTTCCGATTCATTGTGGTTTTAGCACTTGTGGCCGCGCGCGCGGTACTCTTTCAGGAGATCTCCTTGTCATCTTCCAGGGCTGCAGCCTTCAACATGTCCGCAGCTTTGGTGCCTCAGTCCTGCCACAGTCTGAACCATTCTGAATTGGGATCAGATTATTCAATCACTGGTAGCGATTCGAGGGAATTCAGTTGGGATTTGAGGTGCTTCACTAGGGACTTCTATTGAATTTCAGAAGTTCTTCTTTGGAGAACTAGGCCTTGATTGCCATGCTCCTCGTGGAGTACCTGGAAGATCACATCGTCCTTCGCGAGCTGCTTCCCACGAGCCCGGTGATCTCGGAGTTCGTGGAGCACGAGGTGCAGAAGGCGTCGAGGAACTCTCAAGGAGCTCTCGGGTCGCATCGTCCGTCTCGTCGCGTCGAGGAACTCTAGGACAGGGCGACTGGTGACTGGTTGAGTTTTCCTTGTTACTACTAGTAAGGCACCTGTTACTACTACCGATGCACTTGTTTCTACTAGCTTCTTGTTCTACAAGCTTGAGTTTTCCGGTCTTAGTAGGTTGGCGAGGTTTGCAAATCAAGTTCCGTTCCCCCTGTTTTGCTCATACAGGCAGCACATTCATCTTCAATTTTGGCCACTACAGGCCTCTTCGAGCAAAAAGTTTGCGGTGTGCTTCAGCTCATTTGGAGCACATAACTGAAAGGAACCGTTTTTTTCTGAGTTTTTCTCTTAGCTTTGTTAATTGCATTTTCTAGGGTTTTTGTTCAGGATGTGTCTTTGCATTTGCTATTGCTTCTGTTTTTCCTACTGCTTTTGCATTCGGTTTGTTCAACGTATAGCAGACCTTTTGTGAGGTCTCCGAGAAAGGAGCCATTCCAACGTCGCAGGCCTTTTGTGAGGCACCCAAGGATTAACTTTAGAGGAGGAGGGAGCCCTTCCAACATAGCAGACCTTTTGTGAGCCACCCGAGGGTAGAATTTAGATGAATTTTGAGCAGGAAGGTGCCGTTCCACCGGAAAAGTTAAAAGCTCAAAGAAACCCTAAAGACAAGTGAAACCCTAAGCCAGCCGCAAAGTTTCTCTACTCTTTCCTCACTGCTCCTTCTCCTTCGTTTTCTTTCTCTCTCTCTCTCTCTGTCTCTCTCCCTGGCTTCGTCTCCTTACACTTCTGCTGCCCCATGACTTTCTGCGCTGCTTTTTCTCCCGCCCTTTCTCCCTCTCTTTCTCTTTTCCTCCCGGTCGCTCTCCTGCTTTGCTCTTCCACTTTTCCTTGGACGTTTAGACGGTGCCTAGTATTTCTGTCTCCTCTTTCCTCACGGCTCATCCTCCTTTGCCTTCTCATGTTTTTTCTTCTCCCTCCCCTTTGTCACTGTCTCGCTCTCTCCCTCCCGCTCGCTCTCCTGCTTCTTCTCCTGACCCTTCTGCTGCTCTTGATGCTTCTAAAGCACTCCCAGAAAAATGCAAGACACATATCAAGCAAACATATTCATCCTAACCCAGACACAGTAAACATTTTCTGTTTTTATTGAGTGCTCCTGCTGGAGGTGAAGTTTCAGTTGGGATCTTTGGGGACTTTGTCACGAAGTGTTGAGTTCATGAAGTTTCTTGTCATGCCTTTGCGTGATTTGTTCACCAATCCAGGACTCCAGGAAAGCAATTTTGAGTTCTTGGCCAGACTGCTTATAGCAAAAAGACATACAAAGAAGCTTTCCTACCGTACCGAGACACTCCATGTACGTTGGTTGTTTTGCATTGACCCCGTTTCAACGTAATTTTCCACAGCCCCAAATGGAGATGCTCAGGACATTTGCGCGTCAGCGGGCGACATTTGATCGTTCGGTTTTGGTTGGATCCGCTGCGCAGGATGCTTGCTGAGTTTGGACCTGCGAGTCACCGAACCGGGGAGTGCATGGCGCTTGGATGAGTTGGATGCCGATGGCTTTCGACGAGTCCACGTGCACCGGTCCCAGTCGTGGCAAAACGCACCAGGCATAGAACTGGGGCTGCACGTGGAAGCTGTGAGTCCCTGAACTGATGGATGGATGAGGTTTGCTATGTTTTGATCTCGTTGACCACCACCTTTGCTGAGTAGGTAGATCAACATTGCCTTTCCAAACAGTGAGAAACTGTTGGAACGTCACGGAAAGTCTAAATGTCATTTATAGTCCTACTGTATATAGTCCTATCACCTCTTGATATGCCGGCCATCCATCTTTGTTTCATAACCCATGGCGGGGTTGTTTTTAAAATAGATCCTGCCTCATAGAAGCACATGATGCCAGTCCCAAACCATCAGGTCTTTCGCAGAGTCGTCCACTATTTAAGGAGGCATGTTGATACCGCACCGAAATGGAATGTTTGTTGAGAACTCTTCAGCCCTGTGATGAGTCCGAGATGTTGTCTTGCGCATGAACCTGCCGAACGGCATCACTGTGACTGGGGTGGGGGTGGGCACGAGTCCAGCATTTGGCCCGATCCGTGCGTTTACTTTTTCCATATTTCTTTTTGGGGGGGTGCCATGGGACGGGGCAGCATATCTCAAAGAGACACGCTGAAATTAAGCACGGAAACGTAGTGAACGAGACCGAAGGCCTTTGAGGGCAATAAATCGACATACTTCCGTTATTGGATTCAGGACAGACCCACTTGTCGCATGTGTTCCCGAGCCACCCTGAAAAAGGTTTGGTCGAAACATACAGTACACGATCTTCATGTAGTTCCATTGGAATATATGCTGGGTCATGGAACCAGGAGACCGACTGGTTGACCCAGCCGGGAGGTCGTGAGGTCGGCCAATGGTGGACCAGGCTGGACCCAGCTTGTTGATCCACATTTATCCAGTGTGTAGTTAGTTCTAAGCTTGCCCAAGCGACACACCGGACTGATCCTGGCTTAGGTTCCAATGGCAAGACACCCGTGCCGTGTTCGACCCTTTTGCCCGTGCCGGGCGAGCACTTGGAGAAAGCAGAAGGTTTCCACCGCGCTTCATCCCCTGCATCGACCGGAAGAAACTCAGAGCTGTGCGGACCATCCCGGTCGCCAAAGCGTGCCACGGGTGGGTCACACCAACGCGCGGAAAGTGTGGGTCACTGAACTTTTGGACGGTGAATGTTTCTTTTTCATCCTGTTGCTTGTTCACCCCCGTCACAATGTATTCAACTGGGCCTTCCCAAGAAACAGAATGCTAGCAAAAGTCTAATAGCTGCTACAACACCACAGGAAGTCACATGACATCACATTACTTTTGACAGGTCCTCCATTTGCATTTGTTTGACTGAGGGTACCTTTGGCCATTAGGTACATGTCAACGCGCCTGACTTAGGTTCTGAGGAGGATAAGCAACGCATGTTTTCTGTCATTTTGCCCTTGCAGTGTGAGCACGCGGAGAACGCAGAAGATGATGAATGCTCGATCCTCGCCGAGCCCGCAGCGTCGGCCAGATCCAACAACTCAGATGGGCGTGAGCATTCCCAGTTCTTGCACACGGCCACCGTGCTGGGGCTGCGCATGGAAAGCGTGGGCTACGGAGTTTGTGAATTAATTGATGAACTTTCATCATGTGACAGCCACCTTTATGGAGTTGACTGGAACGTGGTGTTCTCACATCCACCCCCCGTTTTTGGTGCGAAGCATTAGTATGCATATGCATGGCCAATCACTAACACTTGACTTAGGTTCCGAGGGTGGCGAGACACCCAAGTTTTCTGCAATCCTGCCATTGCCCGGTGAGCATTTGGAGCAAGCAGAAGAAGCGGAAGAAGGTGAGCTAGTCGTCGCCGAATCCCCGGTCTTGCCCAGATCCAGCCGAAGCTTGGTGCTCGGATGTACTGGGACCTGGCACTGATCAGAATCTGAATGTGAATCCACTGTTGGCAACGCAACTGCAAGAGTTTAATCGTTGTTTTCCAGGGAATCTGAAGCAGTCAGTCACAGGAGGTGCAAGCCAACCCAACAACCCATCAAGCAGTCCCGACGCCAACGCTCCTAAGGCCCCTCATCGAATGAACGTGGAGTAATTGCATGTGACTGCCATAGACAGATAACATTATGAAATCATCCCCTGGCCCCTAACGAATTGAAACATATGTTTTTCTTACTCTCTCTTTATATATAATTAGTTACACTTGTATTATATTATATATATACACACATGCTACTTGTACCCCCAAAAAATGTATACCTTTTTGGTTGGCTAGCATGGTTTTTACCCAGCGTCGTCCTGTGATTTAAATGCAAGAATATAAGCAGAATGGCTGACCAATGCACACAATTGCACACAGATAAGGGCAGATGTTTTCCAAGGTTGGGAAATTAGATAACAAAGATGCAGAGAGATGAGAGCCCATGGAAATTCAATCAGATGTGCAGCTTTCCAAGGTTGGGAAATTAGATAACAAAGATGCAGACAGATGAGAGACCATGGATAGTTCTCACATGTGCAGCCCGAGGAACATGGGGCGCAGCATGCTGGAAGCTTGTTTGGAGAAACATAGAGCGAGCAGCTAAATGACTGTTCAACATGTAGTTGTGCACTAAGTCTCCGGTACGCGACCGCAAGTCCTCTGCACGGTGCCAATACTCGTATTTAGCAGAACGAATTTTGTGCACGGATGGTTCTCATGCCCGCCCTTGAATTGAGACCTTTGGTGAGACGTACCTTAATATACTTCCACGCCCCATCTATGTGTTGTTGCGCGCCAGCCTTCGCTTTGATCCACTTGCCCGTTGGAAGTTTGTGCTTAACCACCTTGACAAAGTTGGGCTGCATCCATTTTCATTTGCCACTGACTTTGACACTTTGATTCATGTGGACGACGGAGTCATGCAAAGCCCCTGGCAACTGCTCGGGCTTACAAACTCAAGTTGCCAGCCTGGCAACTTGAGTTTGCCAGCCCGAGCAGAATCGGTATGGAATATGATCTGCTTGTTGGCGAGGTACTTCATGCTCAAGGGTGTGCAGTCACGTTTGAAAAAAGAGAAACTGAGAACAAAGAACTTGAGAAGAGTGGAGCTTGAGAACAGATACTGTAACTTGAACACAGAGAGCTTGAGAAGAAAAAAGTTGAACACAGGAAGCCTGAGACCATAAAAATTGAGAAGAAACAGCTTGAAAGCAGAAGGCTTGAAAAGAGAGAGCCTGAGACCATAGAAATTGAGAAGACACAAATTGAAAACAGAGAGCTTGAACAGACAAAAAAACTGAACAGAGGGCTTGGGACCAAAAAATTGAGAAGAAACAGCTTGAAAACATAAGGCTTGAGAACAGAAAACTTGAGAAGAGAGAACCTGAGAGGAAATCAATGGAAAGAGAGTACTTGAAAAGAGAGAAACTGAGACCATAAAAATTGAGAAGATGCACCTTGACTCCTTGACAACAAATGGCTTGAAAGCAGAGAGCTTCAAGTTGAGACGAGGGAACGTGAAAGGAGAAAACTTGAGAAGACGAAACCAGAAAAGAAACTACTGAAGAGAGAGAACTTGAGAAGATAGTGTCTGGAAGGACAGAACCTGAGAAGGTGTACATACGTAGCAGAAAGTAGCGGCATTTTATTCACTTATGCTTATGTGTACAGTGTGCATCATGTATATGTATATCATGTACATCATGTACGTCATGTGTTCCATGGTGCACACATGACCTTTCATTGGAGCAGAGTTCACTTTTTCGAGGGATTTTGTGGTAGTAGCTAAATATCCAAATGAAAGCTGGGCAGGTCCTTTCAGACTCAAGTATGGGTGCCAAAAAGGCTGTTGCAAAGCCTGATGGGGCGAAGGAGAAAAGCAAGAAGGAGAAGGACCAGAAGGAGAGTGGTAAGAAGAAAGAGTCAGAGAGTGGAAAGGAGAAGAAAGAGAGTGGTAAGAAGGGAAAAGCCAGCGACCCAAGATCTTTTGAGCTTTGCGCAGCCTCTTGACCTTGTTCAAGCTGCTGTCGGGATGGAACCAGAACCGCTTCAGCCTGCTGAGCCACCCCAAGCTGAGGAAGAAAGGTGCAGTGCTTGACTGCGAAATAGCGGGCTTGGGAAAGACTTGGTCTTGGGAAAGTCTTAAGACCTATCAGGTTCTAAGATCTCAGATTATCCCACTACTTTTTTGGTGAATCTTAGATCTTAGAACCTGAGAGGTCTTGAGACCTACTTAAGACCTCTTGTTTCAAGTCCAAGTATCCAAGGATCCACGAAATACCGGTGTATGTATGCATGCATGTATGTATGTGGGTTTAGATGTGGTTGTATGTACGCATGTATGGTACCACCCACCACCACCCCAGAACAAACGGTCAACCAAGGTGCTTAAAGCACGGCAAATACAAATAAGAACTATACAAAAGTGATTGACATTGGGGGGTTATACCATGTATATATATAAATTATGTACATATATCGTTTCAATCTTACCTTACTAGTGCTGAATCCAACTAGATCAGAAGGCTTGTTGTGCCCAGAAACGCGAAGTCAAGGAGAGGGCTTCATCCAGCTCAACCTTCACCCCACCGCCCAGAGCTGCGATGACCGACCGACTCTTGGGCACTGACATATGATGTACTGATGCAGCTGGTTTTGCTTAAGGTGATTTTTCCCTATGGGTACATCCCCTTCCGGGGAATATGTTTTTATTTTCCAGGTTCCTTCAGCAAATCCAAGTACATGTCGTTGCATTTATACCCGTATGCATTGTGATCTCTAGTGGATGAATGGTCTGACATGTAGACTGACACTTAAAATGAGATATGTACTGACAAATTTATTGACATGTTGTCACTTGGTTATTCTATTTGTTTATATACATCTTTTGGCATATGAAACGGCCTCCCTTGACCCGGCACATGTCCTGAAACCACATCCTGTCCGTGGGATTACATTCAAAAGCATCCATCGACGCTCATGATCCGCCGCGTCCTGCCGATCTCAGCGGGGTTGGATTCGGGATTCGAGTGCACCAGATCCTGGCATCAAGGGCAGCTGGTTTGGCGCCCTCACTCGGTCACCGTTGTCCCCATCACAAAAACCCGACCCGTGAGGATTGGATCGATTTCGGCGCCACGCAGAGTCCAGACGTTGCCTGCACGCGTGGCCGCGCCACTTCCAGAACCCAAACTCTTGGACTTCGTGACCTGGCCGAGGGAGTTGAGTGGATACCCAACGGCAAGTTCAGTGGATTCTCCACAGGAGTGATAGAACAGGTGGAGAAGGATGAACACGGTTAGTTTTTTCCAAGGAATGAGGTCAACAGTCAGATGATGGACCGCAGGATCCTGCTAGGTCCACAGGATCCTTGTGGGGCCTTGTGGGTGAATGGTGAAACACATGATTCCCAAAGCCGGGCTGGTTTGGAAGACCAAAATAGGGTGTGGGATTTCAAGCACAGAACCCACCAGTTTTGATTTTAGTCTTAGTTACAAATAGCAATTAGGGTCAGTCATGATCACTCTCAAGTTTACACAATAATGACAAAACATTGAACATGTCATAACGTTCAATACAGAGGAACCATTAGTGACAAAGGATCACCGGGGCACATAAATGTATATTCAAGGGGGTGTATCCCCCCTCTCAATATACATTTCCCGGTGTCCAGGTTTCATTCCCGGAAAGTTGTAAGTTTCATGATATGATGATTATGGATGTCCCCCACCCCCCTTCAAAATGAAACCTGAAAATCACTTGCATGAACTGCATGATGATAGTCCTCTAGAATGCAATGGTCTGGAAGGTGTAGACATTTTGTGTTTTTGAGGACCAGGCATGTAGAACCTTGTACTTGTTTTCCAGCTATTTGGTCACCAATGCCTTTCGGTACTCAATGCCATATTGTTCAACATTGCTTTGTTTTACCTGCAGATCTTTGCTGTGTGTTTGATTTATTTTTTCATGTGTCTCCCTTCCACCCACGCTGTCACCCACCCATTCACCTACTCGCTCACCAAGGCCACGCCCATGACCTCCCAAGCTTCTATGGGCCAGCGCCGCAGCAGCCTGCCAAGCCGGCTACGTCGATGGTTTGGCCAAGAACGGCAGGTCGTGCCGTGCCTTTTGTTACATGGATTGAGAGAGACTTGTCATCAACTTGCTCCGGCTGGAGATGGGTGGGATTTGAGTGGTGGCTGGAGATCGGCCATCGACGACCCACATCAGGCACGACCCACATCGATGCACCCACTTTTGGCAGAAGTCCTGGCTTTTTGCTGACCATACCCCCAGAAGCAAGTCAAAGATATGATATACATAAGTTGATTGTTTCAATTTGTTTTTAGATCATTTTGGACTTGTTACATGCCCGGAACAACAAAAAGGGATACGGACGCTGAACGGGGTTTCACGGCAGATATAAATGCCGAACTGCGAGCGATCTATAGTGAGGGTTGCCGGTGGTATAAAGGCTTTAGTGCGTGGCTGGATTGCTCTTGCTATTAAATTGGACATGAGATATTTTCTGCAGACTTCTCTACTACTCCCAGATGTTGAACAGCTTGGTTGGTCTCAGACCAACTTGTGATTGTTTCCTGTAGAGATTTAAGCAGTGTATGTAGAAAGAAACGACAAGTGCATACCAAGTGTGTTCATGTCCAAGACCGATTGCCACACCTTGCTGGCCAGTCCAATCCAAAAATGTGCATTATATTAATCTTGAAATTTTTGAGTCACGGGCCATGGGTACAGAATGGTGGAACACGAAGGCTTACTTAGACTTAGATCATGATCAAAATTAACTGTCTCTCGAACACCCACATAGACAAGGACCCCCTCTTTCGTTGAGGAAACATGAGCCATATAGGTGCAGCGTGTTCCGTGCCTAGTTTGAGCCCGCTGGCTGGTTCGAGAAACCCTGAACCTTTTTTGGGGGATTGGAGACAATGAGAACAATTAACTTTTAGCCTTTACTGAGGGAGTCAGAGCCCACTTTGTTCGGTGCTTCCGAAAAAGAAAAGGCCTGGCCACATCCCTGTAGGCTGGTGATAGGGGAAACGGCCCAGCGTACCCAGACTTTGAAAGAAACACTGGAGAATGATGGTACGGGAAAGACTGAAACCGCATCTCTATATTTGTGACTAATTAAATCAAAAAGTTCTTCCCAAAGTTTGAGTTTCACAGCATTTTAACCCAACATTTACAGAAACCCGTGGCAAGGTGTTCTTGACCATCCCTCATGACCATCAAACCTGTGGCTGATTGTTGAGCCTTGGTTGTCGTGACTCGTCTCAGGAGATGCCTTGGTTCTGTCAACTCAGTGCGATTGCCATCACTTGCGAGGTGGCATTGGGTTTTTTGAACACCACACTCGGTCCTGGCTATATCCGAGGGGTCACAGAGGCCTGTGAAGATTTTGATGCGTTAGTGATTGTCTGGTGGCCCACGCCCTTACTGTGCTAAGCCAGTGAGGTGTGACAACGCACCAAGGCAACCAATTTCTGTAGTCCGAAGGTTCTTTTTTGCCATTGCGTCTTCTCCTTATTTTCAAGATCTTCAGCTTTCGACTTTTGCCCACTCGACTGCTGGAGTATCTTCATCGTGTTTCGGAAAACGCTCGATGAAAGCTATTGGGTGAACTTTTTATTTTTGGCCAGGCCGCCTCGCGTGTGATGTCGAGGTAGCTCTATATATATTTCCTGGAAGTTCGGAAGGTACAAATATCCTTCAGAATGGACCGCTTGCATTCTTCTCAGAGAAACATGGAATGGTTGAGCATTTTTTCACGTGAAAGCACAGGTGAAACCCCAATCCCGAGATTTCAGAGTCAGGTGCAGTCGTATCAAGACCATTTCAAGACGGTGGGTGGGACCCTATAGTGTGGAAAAAAAACTGGAGGCCCCCGACATGGCCAAGTCTGCCAGACAGGGCCTGGTGAGGTAATTGGTCAAGCAAAGCTCTTACATGAGCTATGGCCAAAACCCCCAAACCGATGGTTTCGAGGGAATTACAACCACCAGCCACCCAGTGCAAGGGATTGTCTACCACCAGGTGCCATGCCGCAGATGGCACATGTGCTTGGAACATCTTGGAAGGCGAATCTAATCCCTAACTCTCTGAATCCCGCATGATTGACTTGCCTCTGGTGAGGGGGTGTCCAAAGTACTAAGTCAAGATATCAGTTACCACCCCACCGCACCCACATTGTAGGGCTGAAGATCCTTCGATTTTCTTCAGGTGAATGCACCCCACATATCACTAGGAGCCACGCGATGTTTTTTGGAGCCCAACATATTACTAGGAGCCTCCCTGAGTGGTGAATGCACCCCACTCTTCCTGAACACAGAACCATTTGGCTCGCTCTGCCGGCGTTTGGGCTTCCGAAGTCGCACCCGGAACAATCGCGTTCGTCGCGGTTGCAATGCTTGATCATCAAGTTGTTTGATCGACGGTCCACCAGTGAACACTTCAAAGACCGCACCAAAAATGCCAGGATACAGATGATTGGTACACGGATGTATATGGTGCACAGTATGCTTCAGGAGTCAGAAAACACGCTGAAAACAACTTTTTTCCACAAGTGCTCAGCACATGTAACGCCTCCGTTTGTGCCTCCTAAGTGGCTCGGCAGTCTTCAGCGTAATGCCTGGGCTGACCGGTTTGCATCAGTGCTACTTTCCACAGACGAGCTCTTTGTCCAAGGGCATACTGAGCAGGTTCCACACATCACTCAGAGATTTGTTGCGCTAGTTGCTAACCCTCCAAAACTAATCATCAGTAGAAGCTGGTTGATGCATTTTCTAGCCTTCAACGACTAGCGCTGCAGCTTTTTGTTTCTCTACAAATTGTACTTGGAAGTGCTGGGAACCCCTGCCCAAATGACCATCGTTTGGGGGAAGGTAGAATACCAACAGTGATGGCGTGATGGCGTTGATTGGAGTCCTTCCAACTAGGCTTGACTGGAAAGTCATGAGGATTTGATGCACTCGAGTGGCAGAGGTCCCTGACCATAAGGATGTTGGAACGGTAGTTGCGTATAGGGTGAGGTTTCGGTGAGCCAGCACGGTGAGTCATCAGTCGGACATGCAAACCATTTTAACTGGTGGTTTCCCCGTGGTCCATAATCGGCCCAAGACGCTTTCGGCCAGAGGTGACCAGCCAAGTGGTTCGTCAGATCAATTCAATTGAATCAAACCGCAGATCGCTTGTGCCGCTGATCTTGGAGAAAATGACTTGAAAGCTGATCTTCATCGGTGCTCACCCGCGGCGGGTTCGCCGCCGCGGGGTTCGGGCACCGCCACGGTTCACGGTCCGCACTCGTGCGTCCGTTCCGAGGATGTCAAAGACCATCTACTGGAGCCCCAGCGAGGTGTGGATCTCCGTTGGTTTCGCTCGCTGAAACCGCACCAAGCTCGGGGAAGACCTCGGCTCACGCGGCCGGAGGGGAAGATGTCCGCGTATGACATAGGAGGAATGAAGAGGAATTAAGAGGTATTGTACACGGATTTTTACAGTGTGCATTGGTGTGTTTTCCTTGGGTTCAATTTTTGAGGAAGAGGTTCTGGTTGAGAATTTGGAAGGACTGGTTGATACTTTGGAAGGGCTGGTTGATAACTTTATGACCATTCTGTTTCTTGCGTATCGATCTCTTCCCGGCTTGCCCTCCCGAAGTTCCAAGGACGGTTCGCATCTCAAGGTGGCAACTGTTCAAAATATACAGGGGTTGAGGCGAGGTGAATGATCCCCATTCAGCCATGGAGATCGGAATGGTTGCGCCGTGGACAAGATGTTGCACACAAAAAACATACACTATGTTGGAATAGGTTCAAGTTCCCATTCACTGACATGTTCCATGAATGCGGTTATGCATTCCTCATATGCTTTGTTGTGTGTAAACTTGCAGGTTTGTGGGAGGTCTTTTGACCCGTGATTCAAGCACTTCTGAGAGCATTCCTTGAAGCTTCCTGAAGAATTGATACACTGACTCTGATTTCTGAATTTAAAAGAAACCTTTTCCATCCGATCCTTTGCCAAGTATTGGGATGAAGCAGCGAAGCGCCGTGTTCCCATTTGCTGCGGAACCACTTCTTGCTCGTTGTGTCGCGTCTTCCCAGAGCCTATGTATGAAGAGCTGTTGTGAAATAGTGTCTTGCTGTTGTGGTCAGGGGGGTCCTTCTGGTTTTCTTGGTAGGTCATGATTGTCAGTTGCTGTAGTCACAGAACTTTCCTGCACTTTAGTCGAGAGCAGCTCCAGACAGTAGACAAGGGCAGGGGGAAGATGTGGATGTTGATTTTACCATGGAGACCCAAGACCTCAATCACCCGTGAGCGCTCGGTCATAGCTGCCAGGTTCACATTTCATGGCATGGGTATGGCATATAGCTGCCCGCATTTCTGGCAGAGACGCCAATGCGTGCGAGGATTTCCCGCACATCAAAGACGGAGGGGAGGTCCCAAATCAAAGGCTCTAGACAGACTTTTAAGCCACCCCCATGTCAGCCTTAAAGACGACAGAACCAGCAATTTAAGACCTGTCGAGCTCAACTTGAGGGGTGGTTGACACCAGACGTCTCGAAGGAAAACCGACACCTCCAAAGTCCGGGGTCCTTAGGCCGCACTGCGCCAGGCGTCCTTAGGCCGCGCGAGCCGGGATGCCCGGAGGAGATTCATCAGGTCGTTGTGGAACCCATTCCCTAGGGCTCCAAGTACCTTCGATTCGAAGGTGGGACTGGGGTGGGTTTAGAGGCTCCAAATACCTTCTGAGGAGGTACTTGGAGCCCTAGGGATTCCCAGATCCAAATGAGACGCGACCTGTTTGGGACTCGGAGATTGACCAATGCTTTTTGTGTGGTTCAGTGAATTTGTTCGTACACATCCCGTATACGAAGGGAGTGGGCATGGGGATTTGGGATGCACCTCCTCAGATCGCGCAAGTTGCGGTCCACTCCTCTCTCTTAATAGGCTAGGTCCTTCCATGCTAAAAACATGGTTTCAGTGGAGTATCCTGGAGTGACTTCCTATAGGAGACTTCCAGTACTTCACATGAAAGTGGATGCCTGGAGTGACTTCTCTGGTTGAGTCTTCCCAGGAACAGCAGCTTGAAAACAAAAGAAGACACGTCACACGTCGTTGTCTTTGTCCGTCTCGGATCTGAACAGCTCGGTTCCAAACGTCACGACTCCGGGTCGAAGGAGCCGGGTCTAAAGGCCCATGGCGAAGGCACTGCAAACACGGAGCTTTTCCATTTCAGCGGCCGAAAGATCGAGGTCTGAATGAACGAGACGTTACTCGTGAGACGTTACTCATGTCTCCATCCAAGAACTCCGTCCTGGGGACGGGACCTTCTTTTCGAAGATGAATCTCCGGTCCAGCGGGACTGGCGCCACAGACAGCTCGGTACCCCGACCATCAGCAACCGAGCCAGATAGGGATCTTTCTTCCGTTCTGAGTGAAATGAAGCTACGACCCTCCGATTGGCACCTACATACATGAAGTGTTTTTGTTTTCAACACATGCATTGGGTCACCACACGAGAAGCTGTCGGGATCGGCCCAGAGCTGAGAGTACGCCGCCAAATGGCGGGCTTCGCGGGTGTACGAGCACATGGGTCCCATAGATAACCCACTAAGAAAAAATGAACAAGCCAGGACGTGTTTAATTCGCTTGGCAGGCTTTGAGATCAATATTGACAGATACTCAAACGAATCAACAGGGGATGATCCAACTAGTGTATTGGGAACCTAACAAGCCCCGCGCTTCCGGTTCTTTCTCCAGTGATCTCTTGAGGCCGAAACTCCATGTTGGAAGGCTCCAAACAGCGGAAGTTAGATGTGACCGAGGACACAGGGACGTTTTGTCGACTTCGCCGATCGCGACCAAAAGATGCCTAGTCGCCGTTGGCGCGTTCATCCACATGGCGTGTGCGTGGCAAATTCCAGGGTCCTGATTGGTCTTAAGATCCGGAGTCACTGAGTGGCATTTGTAAGTACGGGGACTCACTTCATGTGGGGCCAGTTGTAGCCCTGACACTCCATGAAACCTGGCATATTTACATCATTTGGGGTGGCTTCAGGGGTCAAGGCCAGTAAGTATTAACTACAGAGTGATGGGTACTGTAACTCCCTCCACTTTGATATCAGCCAATCAATCCACCATGTCGACGATGTTCAATCCCTTTGTTTGATCCAATTCCATGCAGCCACAGTTCACGGGCACTTCCAATATAGCTGCCCACTTTGTATTACATGTCTTCATGGGACAAGTCAGTATTGGCAAACACGGAATGGATTGTACGTATACCAAGTCTCCATCAATCTTTGGCACCTCAATCTTTACTGCTCAGGGCAGGGCCTGGGATGTTTGGTTCAAAATTGGTCTGGCAGCGTACACCTCCAATCCATTGATTCGTTGACACCAACACCACCTCTTCACTGCCAGATGCGTCTGGACACCGCGGTTCTTCA